GACGGTGCCGCTGGGCAGCGCGCGGCGGCGGGCGCTGCTGCGCAAGGCGAGCTCGCTGCCGCCCACGACGGCGACCATCCTGAGCGCGCTGCTCGAGTCCCGAGTCCGCCTGCCCCAGTACCCGCCCGGCGCTCTGACCGGCAAGCGCCACCTCCGCGAGCGCAACGAGCGCCAGTTCTTCCTCGAGCTGCTCAAGGACATCTCCAACGACCTGGACCTCGCCAGCCTCAGCTACAAGATCCTCATCTTCGCCTGCCTCATGCTCGACGCCGACCGCGGCTCCCTCTTCCTCGTGGAGGGCGCCGCGGCCGGCAAGAAGAGCCTCGTCTCCAAGTTCTTCGACGTGCACGCGGGCACGCCGCTGCTGCCGTGCGGCTCGTGCGAGGGCAGCGACGAGGTGCAGGTGCCCTGGGGCAAGGGCATCATCGGCTACGTGGCCGAGCACGGTGAGACCGTCAACATCCCCGACGCCTACCAGGTAGGAGCCGCTTCGGGGAGGGATGATGCGGAGGTATTTGGCAGCTGTCTTCATTTCCAAAAAGCGCTTGGGAATCTGCTGAAGGAAAATGTTAAAAAAAAAAAAAATGAACCCAGCAGTCCTGATAGCGAGACTTTGTGGTGTTTGTCTCCCTCACACTGCTGCCGTGTTCGCGCTTCTCCTTGTGGCTTCACACATGCCCACAGCGCAGAGTGTTCTCCATGCTCCTCCCAAGGCCTTATAACCTGCCCTTTGAGCCTCCTGCGAGGAGTTTCTATGGGCTCGACTTTCAGAGAGGCTTCTACTTCAATTGTGAAATGCAGTCCTGGCTTCAGAGCAGAAAACCTCCTTGGCTTCAGAAGTGCCTTCCTCTGGGTGTGTGTTAGTGCTTCACTAGCTCAAAAATCACTGCTCTGCCTCAGTCCTTGGGGTTGTTCCTGGCACTTAGAGGCGTGAGGCGCCATCCTCCATCTAAGGTTCCTGACAAAAATAAGAACCCTAGAACTCCAAATTTTGTGCATTATGGTCCTGGAAAGCCACAGAAAGTGGGCAATGCATGTCTTTAGGAAGTTGGGGAATAACTATTGTGCAAAGTCTAAATTTGCTCTGGAATAATAACAATAATCAATATAAACTCAATGCCTCTTGATAGCAAACCATGCATGGAAGATGCCTGAATACTAGGAGTGGATTATTCAGGATAAGTGTATTTTGGGCAGAACACTTACTTATTTGTTACCCAGCACAAAATGCCAGGCACCTCACAGATCCAGACTGGGAGGGGTTTCCAAAACACCGAGTTCAAAGGGAAGGAACAGAGCTTGGTAAAAACGGTGGCTCACCTTTAATAAATTCAAAGCTTGCTTTCTTCCTTTCTGTTTTTCTCCATTATATGCTTTCTTTACCATTTTGTTTTTTAATACGACTTTCCCTTCTAAAATAATTCTCTTTCCAAAAGAACTGGTGGTTGTGGTTAAACTGAAGATGTTTGCTGTCTCAAGTGGTTGAAGAGTTTGAAGGGTATTTGAGTTTGGTTGTGCAAGAGTTCCGTCTTTCTTTATAACTGCTGCCTTTTTCTTGTTCCCAGGCTCTCTGCGTAGCTCCAGATACTAGTGAGAAGGACACTAGAATGGCATGGTGTTTTCTAGTCCCAGGGGATTTTTTTTTGAGGTGTTTGCTCTATTTACTTCCCTGTAAAAAAATATGTTTCTTTAAATGGGTTATTCTCTGTTTCACCATGATAATGAAAAACAATATTTGCACTTGCCATTTCCAGTATTATTTATATCATACTTTTGTCTGGCTTCCATTCTTCATGGGATTCAAAGATTATAAATAATACACTTCCTTGTATATTTAAGCCCTAAGTGCATTAGTTGCAGTAGAAGGGAAGTCATAAACCAAGTTTACCCTGTAATTTTATCAGTTGCAGCTTCGCTGCTTTCAGTGGAGTTACTTGTGATTAATTCTAGTGCAAAAGAAACTTTAGACCTTGTAACTTTAATGAAGTTTTGCTTGATAATAAAATGAGGCATCTGCCTTCTGTTGTTTCTGACTTGGCGCAGTTTATCTTTTGTTACCCGGGGTGTGTACAGCCCTTGTGCATCATTAAAAGGAGACCTTTCTGATTCAATAGTCTAGAGTGAAGAGCCCTAAGGAAGCTTAGCTCTGTGTGCATAAAGACAGCTGTTCCACTTCAGATTATTGTAGGTCTCACAGTACAGTGCTTTAAAAATTAATACATATGGTGATATGATTTTTGTCAGCACTGCCACTGATGATGGAGGTGTTTAATCAACTGTCAGGTTAAAAAAGCACCACCAGCAAACTTGGTCGGGCTGGCAGATGGAGCGGGAGGAAAAGGGGCAACTCGGCTGAAGAGACCTTTTACATTGATGCTTCTTATCTAGTTACAAAAAGCCTTTTATTATATTAGGTCAAACAAACATCTCTAGATTCTGCTTGTTCTTGAAATGAACAAACTTGTTGGAAAAGAGGTAAAGATATTTTCCTGTTATCAGTTAGTTTACAGGGAAAAAGACAGGATTGGGAAATTTAATTTACTATCATCTATCATTTATTTTTCTGAATGTAAAATGATTTTTCTGAAGAGAAAAAGAAGAACAGCATATCAGATAGATGTTTTAATGAAGGGGAAAGAAAGAAAAAAATATTAGAAGAAG